GGCGCCGAGCCAGCAAACATCTTTCAACGCACCTCACATACATGTCTTGATGCTAGGGTTAGAAATCACTGACCCATTAGAGTATTTAGGAAGAATAAAATAGTAGTAATGCCTTTTAATTTTTTAAAATGTTACTTTATACAGCAGGGTAATTCTTCTATTAAAACTTGCTACAGGCTTGGCACCTGTGGCTCAAGCGGCTAAGGTGCCAGCCACATACACCTGAGCTGGCAGGTTCAAATCCAGCCCAGGCCCACCAAACAATGACGGCTGCAACCAAAAAATAGCCAGGCGTTGTGGCGGGTACCTGTGGTCCCAGGTACTTGGGAGGCGGAGGCTGGAGAATCGCTTGAGTCCAGGAGTTGGAGGTTGCTGTGAGCTGTGATGTCACAGCACTCTACCCAGGGCGACAGCCTGAGGCGCTGTCTCAAAAAAAAAAAAAAAAAAAAGGAAATTAGACTAAACTTTGGCATTGTGCATTGGTTTATGTGTTTTAGTTTGGCTGTGACCCCAAACGATAATGACATACAAAATAGAAGTCACCATCAGGAATCTAGGTTCCCACTGTATTGCTCCTCCTCAGCATGTGGCTATCTTATCCTGTTTGAAGACAGCTGGCTCCAGCTAGAAACATCCTATCAGCATTTGAGCTAGGAGAGGGCATCCTGCCTCCTCTAAGAACACTTCCTAGCAGTTACACAACGCTTCAAACTTAGTCACTTCATCCAACTAGCTACCAAAGATGGGAAATTATAATACTCTATTCTGTCCAGGTTGCAGCCAAATTAACATTGTGGGATTCTATCACCAAGGAAGAGAGCTGTGTATTGGGCACTGCTAGCTGTCTCTCACAGAATTGATGTACACTGTGTATTTCCTATACCCAAACATCATTTTGAGGTCAGATATTAGCTTTTCTAGCTGAGCAGAAATTTTGAAGTCTTTTGGATGCTACTAATTAGTCCCTGATAATGTTCCAACTTCTATATAACAGATTTTAGAAGAAATTTCTGCCTCTCATTGCTTTGAATTCTAGAGACAAGCTGAGAGAAATTTAGTAGCCTGTCACCACATTTGACACTGCAAGTATAGATTATAGCAAGTTTTTCTTTTTTTTGAGACAGAGCCTCAAGCTGTCCCCCCTGGGTAGAGTGCTGTGGCATTACAGCTCACAGTAACCTCCAACTCCTGGGCTCAAGCGAGTCTCCTGCCTCTGACTCCCAAGTAGCTGGGACTTATAGGTGCCCGCCACAATGCCTGGCTCTTTTTTTTTTTTGTTGCAGCTGTCATTGTTGTTTGGTGGGCCCAGGCTGGATTCGAACCTGCCAGCTTAGGTGTATGTGGCTGGCGCCTTAGCTGCTTGAGCTACAGGCATGGAGCCTAGTCTAATTTCCTTAAACTGAAAGGCTGATTGATGCAAGTGATATATTGCACCTGGGGGCAAGGAGTTTTATCTACTGTGAAGATGACGTAAGAAGGATGATGTTTCCCATAGAGAACATTGTATCACAGACAGACATTTTCAGAGGTTCTTAATTTAATTTGCCTTTCCAGGGGGGTAAAGCCTGATTGTTTTAGGGAAAAAACAAGCAAAAGCAAAAAGTAATTGCCTTTAGACTAGCTTAGGATGCAAAGTAACTGACGAAGTCCCTTCCCAAAAGAGAACTGCAATTTAAACAAATCAAAAATGGTTTATTTACAATACTCAATGCATTTTACAAATAACATATTTGCATTCCCTAAGCCTTTTGGAAAGTAATTCCAGTTTGTGCAATGAGTGTATAAGAAAATCTTAAGACATCTAGAAGACATCTTAAACCTAAATTCTAAATTTTGAAGGTTATCTCACACTCTATCAAGAGAGGACTGTTTTTAATTAAGAAAAACTAAACTCTGTAGTTAAATATTGTCCTCTAGAATCTTTAACACAAATATAAACCAGGTTAGCTTAGGAAATAAGACCATTGGATTTGGATAAATTATTCCCATCTTTCCTCCCCAATAAAACGCATGCACAAAAGTAAACATAGTAAATTACATTAATCTCATTTTATTTCAATATATATGTATATATATATTTTGGACTCTCTCAACTATTGTTTTGCTTAATTCTGGGTGTAGATAGGTAGGATTCCAGCCTGGAGAAACCCTAAACCACTATTCCCTGCTCCAGAATATCAAGGGATCTTCAGTGAAGTATGTGAGGCAGGCAGGAGTAGGGCGATTTCTGAGGTTTCTTGAGGAAGCCTTGCTTGCTCAGTATGAGCAAGGTTCTCTTCTAGGCATGACAATGCCTGAAGGCATCAATTATTTGCCTGCTAGCAGTTCCGGGAACACTTAATCCTTGTCATAGAGTAAGAGGCTCTTTCTCTTCCCCTCCTCCCTCAATCACTACCCAGATTTTTTTTTTTTTTTTTGAGACAGAGTCTCAAGCTGTTACCCTGGGTAGATTGCTGTGGTGTCATAGCTCATAGCAACCTCCAACTTGGGCTGAAGTGATCCTTTTGCCTTAGTTTTTTCTATTTTTAGTAGAGACCAGGTCTCACTTTTTGCTCAGGCTGGTCTCGAACTAGTGAGCTCAAGTAATCCACCTGCCTCAGCCTCTCAGAGTGTTAGGATTACACTCACTACGCAGATTTTAATGCCTTCTGAGTTGATACGGAAATCAGTACCTGTTCAGATGCCAGAAACTGCTGTGAGTTCACATAAAGATCTTATAGAACAAGTAAAGAGCAATAAACAATACTTTAATTGTGCAGAAGTTTGCACCACATATATGTGAAAGAGAATGCATTTAATTTTACAATTTATGTAGCTGCCATGTCTTAAAACAAAATCCATGTCTTGGCTCTTGAGTCAGAGAGAAGGGATAAGAGGAATCTCTATACTGGATCCACCTCAATTTAGCAATGGGCCTCTCCATCTGCATAGTGTCTCTCTCCTCAAAAGATGGTGTCTTTAACACCTGGCATAGGTGGTTAAATGAGGAAAATACCAAGCTAGAGAAATAAAGTCTTTCATTTGACATAGCCAACAGAATTCTAAGATAAAAAAATTGAGGTAGAGTTGAGAGAGTTCAATTAAATTGTTGAGCATAGACCATTTGGCACATTCTAAAATTACAGACTCCCCATCAAATTCTCTTTTATGATAACTTTACAAAGTGCTGACACCTTAGGAATCCTCCAATCTATTTATGAAGCATCTATATAAAGCTAACAGAGTAAAGTCATTTGAAGAAATCCATTCCTGGCTCATTAAGATATTATTTACCCCAATACTGAAGCAAATAAAAACAATGCTATCCATTTGCTGAATTTATTTAAACAAATCAATTTAGAAATACCATAGAATTAAACAAAACTTCTGACATGTAAACATACTGCCATGTTCCTGAAACAGATGTTAACACCTGGTAAAAGTTAATAGTAGCTTGTTAGGAAAGCTGTCCATTAATAAGGCCAGTCTTCAGCAAAACTAAAACCATTTTGTTTCTTTAGCTTTCCTAGTCAGACAATGCAATACTATCAAACCACAACCAAATATAATAAAGACAACATTGGATGGATAGATCAGTACGTACGTACCATTGGTTACAGCTGTTAAACAGTTTCATTCTTGGCGCCACATAAAAACAAGCCAATCACATCAAATAAATCATGGCTTTTTTTTTTTTTTATCACAATTCACTAAGTGATGTTAATTATGGTCCTTGTCAAACACGTTTGGTAAAGGCTATTTACAGTGTACATGGCTGAGCATGCACTATTTATAGTTACAAAGATACCTGCCAGTTTATTACAATAGAATTACACAGTGCCTGAAAATGGTGAAACATCTCACACATCATTTAAATCAATATAGTTTCAAGCAGGAAACGTTCCTTATTTGACCACAATTGCAATAATTACATGAAAATTCTTATAAAAACACGAATCCCCTTCAAGAAATTGATGCATATTCTACGTACTACAGGTTAAGGCAGTAAAAAAATGTATTCCTGATAACTGGAGGTCTTGACAATGTCAATTAAAGCTGTCTGACTCTAATTCCCCATTTTCCATCATATACTTAAAAGTTTGTGAATGATTTCATTTTTAAAGTCAAAAAGTATTAGTAACTAAGGAGCCCTGACACTGGAAAAAAATTGCTAGGGAAAAGAATAATGTAAGTTGGATTTTGCCTTAAAGTTTTCAAATCATAAACAAGAGCATTATTTGTGACTCTGAACCTTCAATGTATGAAACAAATACATATAATTTTACTTTTCTTAATTTAAAATATACTGTACTTTGAACAATTCAAGTAATGTAAGACTATCAAAAATAACTTCATAAGCAAGTGTCAACTGTATTTTCAATATTTTAATTAAGAACTTTTTAAAAATTATAAACTAAACCATGACAGTTTAGTTAAACAAATGATAAATGACTTTTTATTTGCACTTGTGATTCCTTTAATACAAATTGCTACCAACAAATATGTAAAGATATGGCAGATTATGCATTTGATCAAAGCACTTTGATTTAAGCATAAAACAGATTTAAATGGTTACAAGTTCTGTGCATAAGATCCAAGGAGCTGCCTGCTAATCTGTAGGCAACTCTCTTTCTAATCAGAATCCTTTATTCCTCAGCTGCAGATGAGATAGGGCACAATCTGTTGTAAACAGGGCACTGTTGTAAAACCAGGATAGTATTCTTAAATTAAGATCGTTCTTGTTCAATTAAAAAGACTTTCCCAAGTGTCTTCCAGCACTGTTGTATATTCTGCTGACCTCTTAATTTCATAAATTAACTTTCCTTTGATTCCATTTTTATGGTGGTTGTGTTCACAGTTTTGTTCTAAAAATCGGTTTAAATTTATATAAAACTCTGTACATGTTCACAAATTATTGCATAAACAGCATAATCTTCAAGACAGTGTTTGCAAACACATGTCCAATTCAGGAAAAAAATTCACGTTTCTCGTCTGGCTTTTTTCTTCTTTTTTATTTGTTTGGGAGATTCCCAGCTAGTTTCAGACTTGGCTATAAAAAGGGGAGAAGAAAAAAAAATTAGGACAATAAACACTGTTATGTTTTGATACTATAAAAATACTAACATGAAAAGATGCTTTAAAACCCTTAAATTTTAGTTACATATTTTAAGTTACTCTGTCTGCCCCTTTCCCTTCAATTTCAATGTATTAGGTTTAACTATATGGAATTGCTGATATTCAAACAGTTTTGATCTAGAAAAATAGCCATTTCATATGGCTAACAAAAGAGAAAAATCCGTAAAATAGACACATGAGGTAGCTGAAGGGAGGAAAAAATGGCACAGAACAAGAAGTGGCCTTAAGAATGTGCACAAAGAAAAGGAAGAGGGATCAGACAGACAAGCAGGCAGGGGCCAAGTCCTCCCTTTCTGTCCTTAGCAATCGACTATCCCTTCAGTTATTTTAGCAACTTGGCCCTCAAAACTGAAGTTCACAAGAGAAAAACCCTAGAATTTGCAAAGGAGGAAAAAGTTGCTCTATTAATCTATTAGACTGCTAAGATCAGAATCTTAACACGTAAGAAAAACATAAAGAATACAGAGAATAGGCTCGGCGCCTGTGGCTCAAGCGGCTAAGGCGCCAGCCACATACACCTAAGGTGGCGGGTTCGAATCCCCA